GGGGGGGTTGGGGGGGGGAGGGAGTGGGAATAATAATAATAGCCATTGTGATAATAATAATAATAATAATAGTAATAATAATGGTGATTATTATTATTATTATTATGCAACTATTATTATTGCCATTGTTATTATTATTATTACTATTATTATTATAAGACGGTCCCTACGGGTGAAACACTAGTTCTAATAAAACCAACAGGGCCCCTAAGAGACCCCACCCCCAAACCCTAAACCCTACACCCTTAACCCTAAACCCTAAACCACAGACCCTAAACCCTAAACCCTAAACCCTAGATGTTCACAAGGAGGGTTTTGTTCACTGACCATTGGTCTTCGCCTTGGGAGGCCCAGGCAGCAGTTTGGGGGGCGGGACCCCCGGCAGTTTCCCCTACAAGGTAGCAGACGAACAGAATAAAGCAGCAGCAGCTAAACAAACAAACAAAACAAAAAATAACAACAAACCAAACAAACAACAAGAGCAAAGCGAGGAACAAAACAAAACAAATTAATAAATGCAGAAAATAAACATTATACGCTCCTTGTCACTACCTCAGCCTGTTGTTTTGCCTCTAGAAACCAACAGCAGCAGCAAACTAAACCAATACGCAGCAGCAGTAGCAGCAGCAACAGCAGAAGCGGCAGCAGTAGAAGCAGAATCAACACATGGAATAGCACTGGCGATGCAGCAGCTCATCTATGCGCATGAACCAGCAGCAGCAGCAGCAGTTGCAGGAGCAGCAGCAGTGGAAGCAGCAGCAACAGTAGTAGTAGCAGCAGCAACAATAGTAGTAGTGGTAGCAGCAGTAGCAGTAGCAGTAGTAGTAGTAGTAGTAGCATCAGCACTAGCATCAGCAGCAGCTGCTCCTGCTACTGCCTTCTTTAAGCTGATGGAGGGGAAGCAATGCAGTTGCCTTACAGCTGGTGGTGACGGCTTTTTGGGGGCCCCCGGGGGCCCTTTGGCGGCCGCCCCTGGAGGTCCACCTGGAGGCCCTTTGGCGGCCGCCCCTGGGGGTCCACCTGGAGGCCCTTTGGCGGCCGCCCCTGGGGGACCACCTGGAGGCCCTTTGGCGGCCGTACCTGGGGGACCACCTGGGGGCCCTTTAGGGGGCCCCTCTGAGGCCCCTTTGGGGGCCGCCCCTGGGGGACCTTTGGGTGGGCCCCCTGGGGGCCCTTTCGGGGGCCCTCCCGGGGGCCCCTTGTTCACAGGAGACGACTCTTTAGGAAGGCTGGGAGAGGGTTCACCTTCTGCTGCCTTTGGGGTGGGTTTCGGGGGGCCCCCTTTAGGTGGGAGGGGCCCCTTGCCTCCAGGAGCAGCTGCTGAGGAGGGGGGCCCCTTGGCCCCAGGAGAAGGAGGGAGTTTCGCTGCTGATGGGGGGCCCCCTGCTGCAGGTGAAGATGGTTTTGTTGCTGCAGCAGGAGGGGGTGGAGGCGTCTTCTCCTTGGTAGGCGGAGGTGAGGGCTTGGCTGCTGCTGAGTCCTTAGGAGGCGGTGAGGCTGTGGAGTCCTTAGAGAGGGGAGCTGGGGGTCCCTTCGGCTTGGCAGGTGGGGCCCCGCCCCCCACCGCTCCCTTGGGGGCTCCTGGAGCAGGAGGGAGCTTTGCTTCCTTCGACCCCCCAGGAGAAGGGGGGAGCCCCGCTTTCTCTTTGGGGGCCCCAGCAGCTACAGGGGCACCCAGCGGCTTAGGGGGGCCCCCAGGGGCCCCCAAAGGCGCCTTTGTCGGTGTTGGTGAGCCGCCTGGGGGAGGGGGGCCCTTAGAGGGTACTGCGCAATACACAGGGTGAGACGAGCACACATCAAATTAATGCTTGTTTGTTTGCTTGCCTGCTTGCTTGCTTGCTTTGTTGTTTGTTTGTGTGCATGTTTGCTTGTGCGTTTTTTTGTTTGCTTGTGAGGGAAGTGGAGAAGAGAAGCCTCTCTTTTTGTCTTTATTTCTCCTTATTATTTCGTGAACTGAGACTGTCTTAATATAAATAAAAGAAAAAACAAAGACAGCAGAAACAACTGCGACTACTAGATGCTGCAAAGAGCTGTCTGGCGTAAATACACAAGCCAAACTCTCCCTACCCCTTTTAAAATAAGACAAAATATATTTACCTGCTGCCTCTTTCCCTTCGATGCTCTTCGTTGCATCAGTCGGTGGCGGGGAGGCCTTCTTCAACCCAGGGGGCCCTGGGGGCCCCCCCGCTGGCCCCCCTGGGGGCCCCTTTGGCAACCCCGATGCAGCAGGCCCCTTTGGGGGCCCCCCTGGGGACCCCGTTGGTTTCGCTGCTACGGTTTCTGCCTTTGCTGCTGGTTCTGCTGCTTTTGCTGCTGCTGGTGCTGCTGCTGCTGCTGGTGTTGGTGGCCCTGAGGGTTTGGGGGGAGGAGGAGACAGCGATTTGATTGTAGGTGCAGGAACAGTTCTCCCTACGGGGTGCCCTGTAGGCTTTCCACCTGGGAGCCCCCCACCTGGGGCCCCCAGGGGGCCCCCCTTTTTGGATCCTGCTGGAGCTGATGGGGTTTCTTTCTTAGGCGCAGGGGGCCCTGGGGGTCCCTCCGACTTGGTAGCAGCAGCAGCACCAGCTTCTGCTGCTGGAAGACCAGTGGTCCCTTTGGGTGGTCCTGTTTTTGCAGTTTTCGCGGTTGGGGGCCCCAAGGTCTTTGGAGCTGCTGGAAGGGCCCCCTCCCCTTTACCTGCTGCTGCTGGGGGCCCCTTTTTAGCGAGATCTGCTGGAGGGGCCCCAGCCCCTTTTGCTGCAGTTGCGGGCCCCTTGGATGTCGCTGCGGGTGGGGCTGGCACCCCTTCTGGCGCAGTTGGGTGCCCAAGTGTCTTTACACCTGAAGGAATTTCTTTCTTAGCACTGGGTGGGGCTGAGGTCTTTCCTAAGGCAGGCCCCCCGATTTTGCTACCTGAAGAGACGGGGCCGTCCTTCTTTCCTGGGGGGCCCCCCATGCCTGCTGCTGGTGCTGCTGTTGGTTTTGCTGTTGCTGCTGCTCCTGCTCCTTTTGCTTCTGCTGCTTTCTTGAGAGGAATGCTGCCGGTCTTCTGCACGAAAGGAGTAGAAGGGGGGGGCTCGCTGTGTGCTGCGGGGGGCTTAGAGGCGGGTACAGTCCCCTCTTTTGGGAAGTGTGAGGGACCCCCTTTGTCTGCTGCTGCTGCTTTTTCTGTTGCTGCTGCTGCTGCTGCTGTTGGCAAGCTAGTAAAGGGCTTTCGCAGCCCCGGATCTGCAGTGAGGTCGCCGGCAGAGAGGCGGAAGGAGTCGAAGGAACCGATCCCGATCCCGTTCCCGGTCCCCATCGTGTGCGGTGTCTTCTTAGATGCATACACCTCCTCCCGTATGTCCACTGCAGCGCAGCAGCAATACAAAAAAGTACTGCTTCAGCAAGCACGCAGCAGCAAACACACAACCCTCAGCTGCTGCTTCTGCTGCCTGCTGCTGTTGCAGCTGGCGAAGCAGCTGCAGTTGCTCCCCGATGACTCTTAGCACATCCATACAAAACAAGCCAGCAGCAGCTGCTGCTGCAGCAGCAGAAGCAGCAACTGCAGCAGCTGCTGCTGCAGCATCAGCATCAGTCGTAGCAGCAGCATCCCCCCTTCCTTTTGCAACAGCTACTCGCCCCCCCTCCCCCCGAAGTTCGGTGGTATTGCTTAATAATAATAATAATAAGCCAAGCGATCAACAAAAGGAGAAGAGCGAGGGCAAGGAGAAGCACAAGAACAACAACAAGGACGAGACCAAGAACAAGAACAAAACGAACAAGAACTAGAACAGCAACAAAAAAAGGAACAAGAAGAAGAACAATATAAACGAGTAGAATAAGAAGAAGAATAAGAAGAAAGAAGGCGAATGAGAACAAGAAGAACAAGAATACGAAGAATAAGAATAGAAGGGAGAACAAATATAAGCAAATGGATCTCTGTCTGATGCCTCCTCACTTTCTTTTTGTATTTCCCTTTGCATGCAATTGTCTATTATTTTCTGTGCTGCTTCTGATAAAGAAGGGCGCAGCAAATTAGGGTCCTGGGTCTCTATGGCCCGCAGTTTTAAAGAAGGATGGGCCCCTCTCCAGCGATCAGATGCTGCATGCAGCATCATATACATAAAGAAATACAGTAATAAATAATAGAATATAATTAATTAATTAATGCAGAAACACATATACATCCACATAATAATGATATTCTACTTTGGGGAAGAAACCAGGAATAACGCAAAAGAAGATATTTAGTTATATCAATTCAATCATAAACTTGAGGAAAAACAAACAAATTAAAAGTAATAAGGATGCATAAAGAAACAAATAGACAGAGAAATCAATAAAGAAATAAATACACAAAAAGACAAATTAATAAACAATCATAAACGAAGGCAACAAGCCCAGCAGATATGTACTCCATCATTACATTATATAATATTATTATATACTATTACATTATACAGTATTAATATTATATAATAATACACCCCGCACGTAGATGCAAACAAATGCACGTTATACATAATAATAAACCTAAAGACTACCAAACTCAGAAGCAAACAAACGAATATATCATAGTCAACAAAAATAACAACAACAACTACTACTACTATTACTAGTACTAGTACTACTAGAACAACAAAAGCACCAGCAGCAGCAACAACAACAACTACTACTACTATTGCTACAACTGCTGCTGCTGCTGCTGATGCTCCGCCCTCACAAACGCCGCCCCCATTATCGTGGGGGCCCCCCGGTGAGAGTGAGGGGCCCCCATGGAGGTTCGCTAGGGCTTCCCCCTGGGGGCCTCTGAGGGCCCAACGAATAACCCCCCATCATTTGCTGCTGCACCGTTTTGCTGCTGCAGTTGAGTTGTGTGCTGTGGAGTTCTTAACTTGTTCTCATTTGCATCAGCAGCAACAGCAGCATGAGGATAATCATAATAAGGAGCAGCAGCAGCATGAAGAGCATGCGCAGGAGTGGTGGTGAAGGTGGTGGTGCTGTTTGTTTGTATTTACCTCCTAGAAGAAGCCATTCTCTGTTATAAGTACTAACTGTAAGCCACTGCAGGTCTCGAGGACTTCGCTGCCAAACAAATCTATTTAAAAGCCATGACCGATCATTCGTAGCAACTGACAGCCACCGCAAGTCCAGCGGGCAAAACTCCCACCTGAATGCAACTCATATGAGTACAATACATCACGCTGCGTATGCTGCTGGTGCTCCTTGCGTTGCTGCTGGTTCTGCTGATGCTCCTGGTGTTGCTGCTGCTGCTGCTTTTGCTGCTGCTGGTGCTGCTGTTGTTGCTGTTGTTGCTCCGCGTGCTGCTGCTGTTGCTGCTGCTGCTACTGTGGCTGCTGCTGCTTTGGAGGCACAGGCGGAATAGTAGTAGGCACCAATGTGTAGGAACAGCAGCAGCAGCAGCTAACAGAACTGCTGCTGCTGCTGCTGCCGCTTCTGGGTTGATTCGTTTGCTGTAGCAGGCGTGAGTGCATCAGCTCTGCTGTATTCAACCCTCAACTCTAAACCCTCGACCCTAAACACTAAGGCCTCCTCCCTAGACCCTCGGCGCACCTGTCGCTCATTTGCAGCCACGCGTCGTCCTTGGTCTCCGCTGCCAGCCACCGCAAATCCAGAGAAGCTGCAGCAGCAGAACAACCCAATCCCACCAATAAACACGAATTCCCTCCAAAGTTGCTCAGCCCCTATGGGGCCCCCCAAGAAAAGGGGGCCCCTCAGCAGCAACAGCAAACTGCCGAAGCAAAGAGGTGCAGCAGAAGCTGCAGGAATAGAAGCAGTAACAGCAACAGAAGCAGCAGCACCACTAGAAGCAGCAGCAGCCTCAGTGGAAACAGCAGCAGCAGCAGCAGAGTGAAAGGCGCCTCTTCGCAACAGCAGCACAGTTGCGGGTAGCATGCTAAATAGATAAGCTGCGCTTATGTGATGCTTTTTAATTTAGTGGTATACTATTTAAAATAACTCACTCTCGCCAGTGAAGACATCCGAGGGAGGGGGCTTCCTCTGTGGTGCAGGACAAAGCCATAGACTGCAAGTAGTTATTCGCACTTTCTACGTGGCTAGCTGTTGGCTAGCTAGCTGGCTAGCTAGCTGTTTCCGACTAGCTAGTTGGCTAGATCCGTGTGTCGCTGCTAAGGGAAAAGCACGGCAGACAAGAGCCTTATATATAGAGAGCTAGTCAGGGAGCTTAGGGCTGCATGCAAACTGCAGCAGTTGCATGGAAACAGCAGCAGCTGCATGCAAGCAGCAGCAGCTGCATACAAACAGCAGCAGCAACAAAGGAGGCTCACGGGGCCCTTCGCGGCCGCCAGCCCGCAGTCTCCCGCCTTCCGCTTGAGTATCTCCGTTGCAGCAAATAAACGTCGGTCGTGCTGCATAGACAAAAAAAAGAGACAGCAGAAAAAAGCAAAGGGGGACACAAACTATGACAGCCATATATATATATATATATATACAGAGAGAGAGAGAGGCAGACAGATACATATAGAGACACAGATAGGGAGAGGTAAAGAGAGAGAGAGAGCAAGACCCACAAAGTGGCAGATAGGGAGACTGTGAAGGGGAGAGGCGAAAAAAACACACAGAGAGCAGACAAGACGCTAAGGAAAGAAAGACAAAGCCACAAACACAAGAGGCTGAAGAGGAAGACACAGAGAAGGAGACAGAC